CTCATATGCTTTTTGGCTGTTCGTATGTCTTCCTTAGAGAGACTTTTGTTCAGCTCACTTTCCCATCTTTTAATCGGGTTAATCATTTTTTTTCGCATAAGGCACTTGAGTTCCCTATGTATTCTCGTTATCAGTCCCTTGTCTGAGGCATATTTAACAAAAATATTTTCCCATTCTGAGGGTTGTCGGTTCACACTTGTTACTGTGTCCTTTGCTGTGCAGAAACTTCTTAGTCTAATATAGTCCCACTTGTCTATTTTAGGGATTATTGCCTGTGCTTTGGGAGTCTTATTTAAGAAGTCTTTGCCTACTCCAATGTCTCCCAGAGTTTCCCCAGCATTTTCCACAAGTAGTTTTATTGTCTGAGGTCTTAGGTTCAGATCTTTGATCCATTTTGAGTTGACTGTTGTTAATGGTGAAAGATGGGGGTTCAGTTTCATCTTTCTGCAGGTGGATACCCAGTTTTTCCAGCACCATTTACTAAAGAGGTTTTCCTTTTCCCAATGGATTGACTGATATCCTTTGTCAAAGATCAGTTGGCTATAAGCTTTGGGAGTTATTTCTGGGGTCTCTATTCTCTTCCATTGGTCCACATGTCTGTTTTTATGCCAATACCATGCTGTTTTGATGACCACAGCTTTATAGTATATCTTGGGATCAGGGAGTGATATGCCTCCTACTCCATTCTTCTTACGCAGGATTGCTTTTGCAATACGAGGTCTTTTATGGTTCCAGACAAATTCTATAATTGTCTTTTCTAGATCTCTGAAGAATATCTCTGGTATTTTGATTGGAATTGCATTAAACATGTAGATTAATTTGGGTAGAATTGCCATTTTGATTATGTTAATTCTACCAATCCAGGAGCATGGGATGTCCTTCCACTTTTTTATGTCACTTTCAATGTCTTTTTTAAGATTCTCGTAGTTTTCTTTATAAAGGTCTTTGACTTTCTTAGTTAGGTTTATCCCTAGATATCTTATACATCTTGTGGCTACGGTGAAAGGGATTCCTTTCTTCAGCTCTGCTTCATTCAACTTGTTGTTCATAAATAGAAATGCTATAGATTTTTGGATATTGATTTTGTATCCTGCCACCTTACTGTATTCACTTATTACTTCAAGCAGTTTTTTCATGGATACCTTTGGGTCTTCTAAGTATACCATCATGTCATCTGCAAATAAAGATATTTTCAACTCTTCTTTGCCTATTCGAATGCCTTTAATACTGTTCTCTTCTCTGATTGCAATAGCTAAGACTTCCAGTACTATATTAAAGAGCAGTGGAGAAAGTGGGCAGCCTTGCCTAGTACCTGTTTTCAGAGGAAAAGCTTTCAGCTTTTCCCCATTCAGTATAATATTAGCTGTAGGTTTTTCATAGATTGCTTTTATTGTGTTCAGAAATGACCCTTCTATACCAATCTTACTGAGAGTCTTAATCATAAAAGGATGTTGTATTTTATCAAACGCTTTCTCCGCATCAATTGAGATGATCATATGGTTTTTATCTTTCTTTCTGTTAATGTGGTGTATTACATTTATGGTCTTGCGTATATTGAACCACCCTTGCATCCCTGGTATAAAGCCTACCTGGTCGTGATGAATGATCTTTGTTATATGTTGTTGGATACGATTTGCGAGTATCTTGTTGAGAATTTTCGCATCTATATTCATCAATGATATTGGTCTGTAGTTTTCCTTTTTTGTCATATCCTTATCTGTTTTGGGGATGAGGATGATGGAGGCTTCATAAAATGAATTTGGAAGGTTTCCTTCCTTTTGAATCTTTAGAAATAATTTTAGTAAGATAGGGGTTAATTCTTCCTTGAAAGTTTTGTAGAATTCACAAGTGAAGCCATCTGGGCCTGGGCTTTTCTTTGTTGGGAGATTATTAATTACTGATTCAATCTCCTGGCTTGTTATAGGTCTATTCAGATTCTCTATGTCTTCCTGATCCAATCTTGGTAGTTTATATGCATCCAGGAATTTGTCCATCTCCTCCAGGTTATCTTGTTTGTTGGCGTAAAGTCGCTCATAGTATCCTCTAATGATATTATGTATTTCTGCTATGTCCGTGGTAATATTGCCTGTTTCATCACATATTTGATTAATCTGGTTTCTTTCTTTCTTCTTCTTGATCAGTCTAGCCAATGGAGTATCAATCTTGTTGATCTTTTCAAAGAACCAGCTTTTGCTTTCATTTATTTTCTGTATGGTTCGTTTATTTTCTATTTCATTTATTTCTGCTCGAACCTTTATTATTTCTTTTCGCCTGGCATTTTGGGGGTTCGTTTGTTGTTGTTTTTCCAGTTCTCTGAGGCATGATGATAAGTTATCTACTTGCCATCTTTCCATCCTTTTCTTATGTGCACTAATTGCTATGAATTTCCCTCTTATGACTGCTTTTGCTGTGTCCCATAGGTTCTGGACACTTGTGTCCTCATTATCATTTGTTTCCATAAATTTGTTTATTTCAGCCTTAATTTCTTCAGTAGTGAAGAAGTCATTCAGAAGTAGGTTGTTCAGTTTCCATGTGTTCGTGTGTTTTCGGGGTTGTTTCTTGAAATTAATCTTGAGTTTAATTCCATCATGGTCAGAGAAGATGCTGGGTACAGTTTCTATGCCTTTGAATCTGTAAAGGCTTGATTTGTGTCCTAATATATGATCTATCTTTGAAAAGGTTCCATGTCGGGGTGAGAAAAATGTATATGTTGTGGATGTAGGGTGGAAAGTTCTATAGATATCTGTCAAGCCCATTCCATTTATAGTATCATTTAAGTCCTGTATCTCTCTATTTATTTTCTGTCTAGAAGATCTGTCTATAGGAGATAACGGGGTGTTGAGATCTCCAACAATTATAGTATTTTTCCCTATGTCTCCTTTTAGCTCCAGCAGTCTTTCCTTCACATATTTAGGCGCACCTGAGTTGGGTGCGTAGATATTTATAAGGGTTATATCTTCTTGCTGGATTACCCCATCTACTATTATATAATGCCCTTCTTTGTCTCTTCTTACAGTCTTTGTTTTAAAATCTATTTTGTCTGAGATCAATATCGCTACTCCAGCCTTTTTCTGATTTCCATTTGCATGGAATATCTTTTTCCAGCCCTTGACTTTTAGTCTATGTATATCTTTATCCATAAAGTGAGTTTCTTGTAGGCAACAGATAGAGGGTTTCTGTTTTCTTATCCATTCAGCTAGTCTATGTCTCTTAACTGGGGAATTTAATCCATTGACATTCAATGTAATTATCGATATTTCCATACCTGATCCTATCATTAAGTGAGCCATTTTCTTAGTTGTTTTTTGTTCTCGTATAACTGTCTCTGATTTTTTAGTTTTCCTGGTATAGTACTCCCTTCAAAACCTCTTGAAGAGCTGGTCTGGTGTTGGTAAATTCCTTCAAATTTTGTTTATTTGAGAATGTTTTTATCTTTTTTTCCCATATAAAAGATAATTTTGCCGGGTATAGTATTCTTGGTTGAAATTGTTTTTCACTCAACACTTTGACTATGCTTCCCCATTCTTTCCTTTCCTGCATTGTTTCTGCTGAGAGATCCGATGTTAGCCTGATGGGGTGACCTTTGTAAGTAACCTGGCGTTTCCCTCTTGCCAACTTTAGTATCTTGTCTTTATCTGTTGTTTTTGCCAGTCTGGCTATGATGTGCCTTGGAGATGATCTTCTTGGGTTGATTCTACTTGGGGTCCTCTGTATTTCTTGGGTCTGGATATTTGAATGCCTTTCTAGATTTGGAAAGTTTTCTTCCAGGATCTCATGGAATAAATTTTCCAGGCCCTTATTATTTTCTTCCTCCTCCGGAATACCAATTATCCGAATGTTGGGGCGCTTGATGGTGTCCAGTATTCCTCGTATATTATCCTCATTTTTCATGGTTGTTTTCTCAATCTTCTTGATACTTTTATCTAGGTCAGATGTTTTGTCTTCTACGTTAGAGATTCGGTCTTCTGCCTGGTCTAACCTACATTTAATGCTTTCAAGGGAGGTTTTGATTTCCTCTATCACATTCTTCAAACCTAGAAGTTCCATCTGGTTCTTGTTTAGGGTATCCATTTCTTCTTTCAAGTCATTAAAGGACTTCCTCATCTCCTGGAGCTCCTTGTCTCTTTTCTCTTCCATCTCAGTTAGTTTGGTCACTACAAATATTCTGAATTCCTTATCAGACATGTCCACGACGTCCATTGTATTGACTGTGGGTGATGTAGGATTGATGATTTCCCTTGACGGAGAGGCCTTTTGTTGGTTGCTCATATTTCTTGAGCCTTTGCGATTGTTTTTAGTCATCAGGTAATCTATATGTTTCTTGCCAACTTATTTCAGGTATCTCTGATTCATAAAAGTTGTACAGGCTTAGAAGGAAGGACCGGGGGGTGAAGTAGAGTTGCAGTAGGGTCGGGCCTGCAGCCTCAGTCCGCCTCAGAAAAATATCTTCTGAATGTTACCTCTCTACAATCTTATTGGATCAGTCATTTTCAAAATGAAAACATATTTCCATAGAGAAGATTTGCTTATGAGTAATTTATCATGTATCATGATGGAAATGATATTTCACTTATGCATTTTGTTTTTTAATAAATATTTACATTTTCATGTGTTTTTTTGTGACCCTAGTATTTAAAATTCAACCAGATAGGTCCAAATATACAGAACTTAGAGCAAGAAGGTCATTGCAAATTCATAAAATAAGTCTCTAAATTTGCATGAGAGGCGTTTCAGTCAAATATTTCACGTCTCACTCACTAAAAGGTAACAATTATAATTTTTCCAGGTTATGAAAACTAATCAAGCTGTTTGTTTGGCGTAATCTGTTGGTTTACTCTATGGGAATACAAAAACAATTCTATTTTGGAAGAGAGCTCAGAACTTCTGGAATGACATCAAAGCCAAAATAATGACAAGTGAAAATGTTGTATGATTTGAAGAATTTATCATATTTGAGCTGGCCATTTGTAAATGAGCCCATCTCCAGTGATACTAGAAACATGTTATATATCAAAGACTTCTTGGTGATCATATTAACTGCAGAATTCTTAATAGGAATGTTGGGGAATGGATACATTGGACTGGTCAACTGGATTAGCTGGATCAAGAAGAAAAAGATTTCTTCAATTGACTACATCCTCACCAATTTAGCTCTCTCCAGAATTTGTTTGATTGGTGCAATGGTATTAAATGCCATTTTTCTAATATTCTATCCAGATGTTTATGATCTTAATGAAGTAAGGGTAGTCGTTTTTACCTTCTGGACACTTGCCAACTATTTAAGTACTTGGCTTGCCACTTGCCTCAATGTCTTCTATTTTCTCAAGATAGCCAGTTTTTCCCACCCACTCTTTCTCTGGCTGAAGTGGAGAATCGACAGGATGGTTCACTGGATCCTTCTGGGGTGTTTTGTTATTTCCTTATTGGTCAGCTTTATACTAGCAAAGGTTGTGATTTGTGATTATGGGTACTTTAAAATTTCAAAAAGTAAAGAAAGTATCACTGATATATTCCATGCGAGTAAACTACAATACTTTGATCCATTTACTCTCTTTGATATTTCTTTACTAATCCCATTTATTGTGTCACTGATCTCATTTTTGCTTTTGATAATGTCTTTGTGGAGACATACTAAGCAAATGAAACTCAGCGCTACAGGATTTAGAGACCCCAGCACAGAGGCACATGTGAAAGCCATGAAAACTGTGATTTCGTCTCTCTTTCTTCGTATTATGTACTATGTGGCTTCTTTTGTGGTAACCTTTAGCTATCTTATAAGAGAAAACATTTTAGCTATAATTTTTGGAGAGATTTTTGCAATTCTCTATCCCTTAGGCCATTCACTTATTTTAATGATTGGAAATAACAAACTGAGGCAGACATTTGTCAAGATGCTCAAGCGTAGAAAAATAACCTGCACAATGTAAAAATCTTAGTTTTACCAATGAACTTTAAAGTACATCTTATTGTCTAAGAAAAACTGCCCTTTTCTTCTAGGAATATTCTCATTTTCCCAGTTATTTAATTTGCTTGAAATGCATCTTTTATCTTTCTTTCTTCCATTCCTTTTAGATTTTTGCCCTCACTGGAGAGAGAGAGACAAGGAGAGACAGAGAGGGGAAAGTATGAATCATCTCCTGGGGGAATGGCCAACCACAGTTCCTTCTCCATTTTCCTCTTGAGATTTTGGACATACACCCACACTCGTGTTTTTTAAGTCACTGTTTTGGGACTGGAACTGTACAGCTGGCCATGTGGGATCCAACACCTCTCCCACCATGCAACCTGCTTGCACAAGGTGTATATATTTAAGGACCAGCAATTAGTGTAATGGCTATGTCGCTGAACTCCCTTGTAGTTGACTGCAGTTCGAGTCCCGGACCCAGTGGCTTAAACTCATGTGTGTGCATGTGTGCCCAAGATCCTGAGAGAAGAATGGAGGAGAAGGGATTGTGGTGTGGCCAGCTCCCTTGGGGGGTGATTTCTCGCTTTCTGTCTCTCTGTCTCTCTTTCTATCTTTCTAGCGAGCACATACAACCTATAGCAAAAACCTCTCAAAAAAATGTATATATTTAAGTTTTTCCAAAATCTATTAACAAACTAATGTATACATCCTTTTATCTCTTTTTAGAGAATTTTGTCAGAGGGCATTAAAGACAGTGAGAAGGGGAAAAAGCATACCTCAGTGGGGCATGGTCACGATGCAAACCCTTCTCCCTCATTTCCCCATCCCCTCACTATTTTGAGCACTCATGCGCATGTGCTCAGCATATGGGACTTGGCTTCATTACCTACTTGCCTGTAGGGCCAGCTCTCCTGCTTATCTCTTTACCATGGAGATAGACTCTTCTTGACACTGCCTTTCATCCAGTAACATCAGAGCTCATGTTTTTCTTTTGTCTTCTCCATGCAAATATTAGGCCTGTATTGCCCAGTTAAGATTTTTATTTTTTGACCCTTAGTGAACACCACGAGCTATCCTTTCTAGCTTCTCAATTTTTATATCATATATTCTTCTGTTGGCCCTCAACTGAGCTCTCTTCACTTCCTGCTG